ATCTATACATCAAGTTAATGTGTGACTTCACGTAAAAGAAGAAAGTAAACAAAGAACGACAAAAAGAAATAATTAACCGTACGTAAAATTCCTTATAAAATGCTTTTCTCCAATATAACTTGTCAGAGTGTCGAGTCACATCTGTTGTAACCATAAGAAATTTTCTACGTATCATATTTGAATCAGTACCAAAGCAGATATGGTTTGAATGCTTCAAGTATCTCAATGCAGTACATATGTTTTATACATTGAATCAATTAAATTCTCGTTTTAATAACCTTATTCGAACACTACCATTATATGAAGATTTTCAAGATGTTGGTAAGTCGATATTTGATCAATTTTGCACAAAAATGATAAAGAATCCAAAAATCAAAGAAAATATCATAACTTTAAAACTGTCAGATAGCGATACACCAGGTCTAATCGATACATTTCTCTCTCTACTTTCACTTGACGAGTTCATAAATCTTCAATCATTAACAGTTAACCCATATGGATATAGCCCTGACAATACCAGAACATTGCAATCAGTTTTACCGTCCACATCTAAATTATGTTCGCTAAATGTAGCCGTTGTCGATCATGAACTTGTTAATTTTCTCCTATCATCTAAGCTCAGCACGGTGGTAATAGGAAATATGAGTTCTTATGGGCACGACACCTATCGGACTTGGGATGTGGGTATGGGTGAATCAAAAAAAAATCCACACCCCACATTCACACGCACATCCTCAGTATTATTGAAAATATTCAACGAATCACCACAACTTTTATCATTATCTATTAATTCGTCGGCTTTATTATCTTAATTAAATGATAATCAATTGTGTGAATACTGTAATAAAATGGTCAGACAATTAAATTTAAGTCGAGAACACGATTTAACAGCGTATATGCCTGATACAGCAGCAAAGTTTTGGCAAGTGTTTTCGAATTTAGAAAAAATGAAGTATGATATTAAAGATGTCAATGAACTGTCATCCCTGTTAAAAAATTAACCAAAAATATTATTTTTACATATAGTCTATCCTGGTTACAGAGATGTCATTGGTCAAATTGAAGCTAAACTATTAAATTTTAACATAAAGTGGAGAATATTCGGTGATAAGCATGAGTATCATACGCATGTATTAAATATAAATATCTAGAGCGGTTAGAGTTTCGTTAAATCAACTTGATCATCAACATGTTATTAAGCCAGAAATTTCGTTTTTTTTCACAATGATCATTGGATCTGTGAAGGATAATAAAACACTCGTATATAGTACAGCATGATTTACTTATTTTTGCTCAATTTTCTTCAGTTCATTGTATTTCTACAAAACGTTAGAAATTTTTTATTTCTATATGATTAGATAGAGCGTTGATTGCTCTATCCAACAGCATAGTTTTCATTTGTTTTATCTCATGTCTTAATAGAAAAATCTTAAAAACTTAAAAACTAGTTTAAAAACAACTTTTGCACACGTGTGCTTAACTAAGGCCAAACCCGATTGTCGCGAAATTAGCTTTAAATGGAAGAGATCCGTCAAACTTAAAGTTGCATCAAGTATCGGATGAAACTATTTTAAATTCGAGGAGGAAATAAAATTTTACTGTTGGGATTTTCGACACTTTCGCACTATTTCATCTCCGGTGCTATGAATATAACCTCAAATTTATCTATAAGACCTTACAACCGAATCAGATTAAACTTACATAAAGCAATAGAAGAATTGTTGCTCTATTAAACTATAATTTACTCAACAAAGACAAATAATTGAACTTTTAACGAAGAAATTTATTAAATATTCAGTAAATTTTCAGTCAAAATGGAAAATAAATTGGATAAAAAATAGATGGTTCAATAGAGAAATGAATTCTCTATCTAACTATATAAAGACGAAATATATTCATTTCTCCAATACGTTATAATTACTCGAAGAAAACATCTCGAAATTCACAGAATTTTTTTTTTAAAATCTTTTCACGAAACTTATGCATTTTTTAACCAACACATCAGACAAATCAAATAAAAACTATACCATTGAATAGAGCAATCAACGCTCTATCTAATCATATAGAAATAAAACTTTCTGACGTTTTGTAGAAATACAATGAACTGAAGAAAATTGAGCAAAAATAAGTGAATCATTCTGCATTTGTATATAAATTTTAACAAGTATCGTTTAAAAAAAATCAAGTTAGGCAATATCTTCTTTTCTTTGTATGAACATTATGAAATTGATATTATTCTCATTTTTTCAGATCAAATTTTTCGTCATTTAAAACAAATAATATGGCTTTAAGCAATGATGAACTTGCTTGTATTTATGCAGCACTTATTTTAGCTGATGATAATGTTGATATTACAAGTGATAAAATTGCAACTATTTTAAAAGCTGCGAATTATGAAATTGAACCATATTGGCCTGGTCTATTTGCAAGTGCATTAGAAGGTGTACAAGTAACAGATCTTATCAAAAATATTGGTTCCGTCCCAGTACCTACTGCTGCTTCGGCTCCAGTAACTACAACTACACCTGCAGCTGATGATAAGAAAGTAGCTGCTGGTGGTAAAGAAGCACCAAAGACAGAAGAAAAAGAACATTCAGACGACGAAGATATGGTATACAAATTCTATTTTTTATTTTATTTTTATTTATTTTGACATTTTTATTTTTCAGGGATTGGGTTTATTCGATTAAAATTCAATCGAACAACAACACACATAATAGACCTATCATACATCGTTTTTCTTTTATTTTTTTCGATTAACAATGTTTGTGTGTGCCGATATCCATATCACCTTCCTCTGACCTTCCTTTCTTCTATTCTTCTTATCCTATTTCTATTGTTATTTCATGCAGTTATCTCTCTCTCTCATATATAAGCGTGTTTTGTATTGTAAAGTAGTTACATTCTGGAGTGATAGAGTAGTCAATAAACATCATTGCCGAGAATGGCGGTAAAGCTACTCCTCCAGTTTGTTGTTACAATTGGGTTCTTTCGTCTTTTTCTTTTTAAAAACTACGATATCTGCACTTCTCTCCGCCTAATGCATTCCCATATACGATTCTAGGTTTGCGATTAACATAAACATCACATTATCGTAACATCTGTCTTAGAATTTTTATGACTATACATACTGATTAGTGATGTAGTTAGTATGCCTTCGGATGAGTCACTCGAGACAATAAGCCCTTAGTAACTTGTCCAGGATCATTCTATGGCTGGTGATACAGGGTGGGTGTGATAATAAAGAAGAAACACACACACACACACACCCTTATCGAAGCTTACACTTTGAACATTAAATCGCCGAAATTCGTTTTTCGTTCTTGAAAACAAATACTTCATTTGCTCAGGAGCATCTCAACCATTTTATTTAAATGAAAAATTCGAAAACTAAGAATAAATACTATTGAAATGGATTATTAAATTAATTCTATAATTGCTAATGTGTTGTAATTTGCTGTAGATTCTTTTCACTTTTTTAAAAATGTATTCAAAATAATATGAAGAAATAGAACAGTTCTTTGACGATTTCTTTGAGAACAGAAAAAATGAAGAGAATGAAAGGTGTTTTTGTCATAGACTGTTGTTGTTGATTAGTAATACTAGCAACAATAACAAACCTGTACTTTTCTTTTTCTTTTCTCCATGGTTGTTAACGAATTTCTCTATTGATTCTTTTTGTACTTGTGACAATTTATTTAATAAAGCAGGGTGAAATATTTTGATAAGAACAGAAAAACAAATAAAAGAGCAACGACAAACAAACATTTAGAAAAAAGAGGGTGCAAACTATATCCTACAATGTGAATTTGAATCAACAAATGAAGAATTGCGACCTCATTGGCATAATAAGACCTAAAAAAATGACTACATCTTTCAAGAATGCAATTCCAACAGCATCACATGAACACACTACTGCTCGACCATTTAATTCTCGTATCGTTCAAAACTTCGTCCTTATATGGTTACATTCTCACATCGACGAATTGAATAGCAATGATTTTCGTAATTCAATTGTTGAACTACAACGAGTTGTCAATAGCATCAATACATTTACCGATATTGATCAATGTATCGATTTTCTTACCGACATCAAAGAAGAAAAAATCCTGATGATTATTTCAGGTGAACTTGGTCAAAAGTTTGTGCCTCTCGTGCACGATATAGCTCAAATTAATTCCATTTATATCTTTTGTAAAAATAAAACACAACATAAACAATGGACGCAGCAATGGCCCAAAGTGAAGGACATATTCTCTACGATTTCACCCATCTGCCAAGCACTCAAAGAAGATGCACAAAAATGTGACCAAGATTTAGTTTCGATCAGCTTTGTGTCAACAAATAATGGAAATTTAAATCAAGATTTGGATCAACTGGATCCAACATTTATGTATACACAGATACTAAAAGAAATTTTATTGACAATTAACTTTAATGAGCAACATATTAAAGACTTTACCACCTACTATCGCGAAAACTTTGCTGCTAATGCTGTTCAATTGAACAATATTGACAAATTCGAAAGAGATTATGGTAATCATTCGCCCATCTGGTGGTATACTCACGAATGCTGTCTTTACTCAGTGCTCAACCGAGCTTTACGCCTGATGGAAATAGATACTATTATCAAAATGGGCTTCTTCATTCATGATCTTCATCATCAAATCGTACAACTACACTCGGAACAATTTAGTAAGCACCGTCAATTGGAACCATTTACTATCTTTCGAGGTCAAGGCATACCTAAGGCAGAGTTTGACAAATTGTTGAAAACACAAGGTGGATTGATCTCATTTAACAATTTTTTGTCTACGAGCAAAGATTTAAGTGTAGCTCACGGCTTCGCTAGTAGTTCTCTTGCTAATCCAGCCTCAGTGGGGATTGTCTTCGTGATGATAGTTGATCCTTCAATAAAGTCAACTCCCTTTGCCTGTATCAACGACTTTAGTTACTACAAGAAAGAAGAAGAGATTCTAATATCAATGCATACCATTTTTCGCATTGGTAATATGATACAGAGCAACGATGATAATCGTTTATGGCAGGTAGATTTAATACAGACCAATGATAACGATCAACAGTTAAATGCTCTTACTGAACGGATACGTAATGAGATCAAAGGACCGACCGAATGGGATAGATTGGCTAAATTGCTAATCAAACTTGGCCAGTTTGATAAGGCTGATGAATTATACGAAGTTCTGATCGATCAAACATACAATGATCGTGAGAAAACACATTTCTATCATCAACTTGGATGGAGCAAGAAAAAGCAACGAAAATATGCGGAGGCACTTGAATATTATCAAAAAGCGCTTGAAATCAAACAAAGAGTTATGTGCCCAGATCATCCTTCATTTGCTGTTTCCTTTAATGACATCGGCTCTATATATGAAAACATGAATGAGCACATACAAGCACTTTTGTATTACGAAAAAGGGCTTGATGTTCAACAAGAAATACTTCCTCCTAATTATCATGGCTTGACATCTTCTTGCAGTAAAATTGGATCTGTTTACGAAAAAATGGGCGACTACGCAACAGCACTTTTATTTCATGAAAAAGCAGTTGAAATTCATAAAAAAACACTTCCTGTAGATAAACTCAACTTGGCTTTTTCTTACAATAATATCGGTTCTGTGTACGAAAAGATGGGTGAATATATGAAAGCACTTTCATCTCACGAAAAAGCACTTGAAATTAAAAAAGAAACACTTCCTCCGAATCATCCTGATTTGGCTCAATCGCATAGCAATATTGGTTTCGTTTATAATAAGATGTGTCAGTACTCAAAAGCTCGTCAATTTCATCAGTATGCTGTTGATATTGGACAACGTTCGCTACCAACCAATCACCCTCGTCTTCAACAATGGAAAAAAAACCTCGGATATGTCGCACGAAAATGTAACTGATTTGTTTGTCAAAAATAAAAGTTTAGGTAGAAAATATCGAATTTATTAATCTGAGAGACATCTTCACTGACAGCAAAACTCTGTCTTGCTGACAATTTAAATAAAGAAAACCATTCGATAAAGTAATTGATACATGTATGAAAATACAGTGATGGCAAAATTATTCGTACGATTTTGTTTTTGAGACTTATCCGTTGAGGACATTTCAACATTATTGAATGTTGATATTAACCAGATGTAAGCTATTTAGCGTACCGCTTTTTGCAAAAGAAGAACAAAAGATGAAAACATCACACTCAATTGTTTTCAGAGTATGAATCATATACCAAAACTTATTTGTTATGTACACAAGTCGAAAAAACTACCATTTGTGACTTAATGACATCGAGGGCTATTCTATCTTTCGAACTTTTTCTATTGCATCGAACCACGAAAATATTATTGAATGCACTGTAGTTGAAAAAATCATTGTATAAATGGGATCAGTTTCGTTTTTCTTCCATTTCCTTGAAGTGCTTTTTGTAATAGCAATATATCTGTATTTTTACTGCGCTGTTTGCTTAGTTCATCTATTTTCTTCATCTTCTTTCTGTTTTCATTGTCTGTCAACACAACTTTTTATATTATTTTATTACTCTATGTGTGCTGTGATCCACAACATATTACGATAACAAACTCAATATTTTGTTCTTTAAAACGAAGTAATCTGCCATATTTTCGACGACTGTTAGTGTGGATATACGTGTCGGTATCGGTTTGAGGCTTCTCTTCCTGGAAACCCACACGAACAAAAGAAATTGAAAATTAAAACAAATGAAGTCTTGGATATAAGAATTATGTCATTTTTCTTAGAGATCGGAAAAAATCAACTAGTGAGAATCAACAAAGTGCGTCATTCGCTCGAAAAAGTATTACTTATAATATGAATCACTCAAAAAACAATATAAGCGTACTTTCATAGTGTAGAAAGAAAAAAAAATGATATGCAAGCATACATTCTTCTACGATGAGTAAACTGCAAAATATCATGAAATTTGAATCGTTACCAGATGAAATACTGATTGAATGCTTTGAACATCTCAATACATTGGATATTTTATATCAATTTTGATCAGTTTATTCAATATATTCGATTACATCTTGATTTTGAACATGTTACCCAATCAACGTTTGATCACTTTTATATGGAAATATCATCGAATTCATTCATTAAAAGTACTGATCAATTTATCCAATGGGCAACTGATTTTTGGTATAAACAACATCAATGGTATACTGAATAGAAACTCACCAATAATGAAGTAGTCATTTATACTACACTCTATATATCGCATACATACACAATAACATCGTCTACCAAAAGTGATTATAATCGACTGATTAGTCGCTTCAAAACATTTGGCAATGTTACTGATTTAACAATAAGTTTACAACAAATAACAGAAACCAGTGAATTCTGACATACAGCACAACTTTCATCTTCTCGAAAGCAAACATATGTGAGCACTAAATATGTTTGTTCATTTTTATAACTTTTCATCTTCAATATGAGTTGAATTACATGAGTTATTATCATGGTTCTATAATCGTGAATTATGTCAATATTAGATCTTACTAGTTTTCATCTCCGTTTATCTATTCATGTCACTGAAATGATGGAATTTAGTCGAATATTTTCGAATATAGAAATATGTCAGTGTGATATTGGTAGATTAGATGATTTATTAGTCATATTAAATACTTTATCAAGCCTATCAAATATAGTACGGCTTTGTGTGTGAGTGGTATAGATGGATGTGGGTTTGGGTATTCGTGTGAGTATGAGTGTGTATGTTGTTTACAGTTGGAGCTGAGAAAATAGCAGCATCAACGCCCATACTCAGACACCCACTCACACACTAGTTTGCTTAGATTTCTGTATATTTTAATCATGTTTTGAAGGTGAAACTTCATGTTTTTCTTCGAAGAGCGAAAAAAGCACTTTTTTCACGCCT